CATCAAAGAGTATTTTTTAAATGTTTGTTGATGATAGGGATAAATTTGGCCAGATAGTATAACGATAGGGGTAAATTTGGTCGGATAATATAACGAAAGTTAAATGTAGACAATATTCGATACTAGAGGGGTATATTTGGCCCTTTTCCCAAATGAAAATGACTAAAAAAGTTTCAATTGGATATTAGATGAATTTATTTGGGACTACAAAAATATTTTGCAAGTTTCAAAAAAAAATTTATCCGCTACATTGTATTTTATGTTTTCACTTAAAGTGTAGTAGAGAATTAAATGCTCAATTTAGTATGAGATGTTTTTACTTTTTGGTACAAAAATGACATAAGAGTAGTATTTAAATAAAGGACAAAAATATCACTTAGCTTTTAATGGATATTTTGGTCTTTTAACTTTGCACTTTGGCCTTCACACTTATAATATAATATGATGATATGATGATATATATGTTTAAAGTTGTGCAGGGTGGAGCGGGTTTAAAGTTTTGCAGGGCGATACGGGTGCGGGGCGGTTAAAATATTTTTGAGAAAAACTAATGAAGGGCAGGGCGGGTTGCATGTCTATGCGGGTTTCTCCCAATATGGTGTGTTGTTTGCTCTCTGTATTCTTCTTCTGTTATGTAAAAAAAATTCATGTTCTTTCGACAATATTTCAAAACATTTTCCGTAATATCCAACAAGAAATTATGTACTTCACAAATTGTATTGCAAATAAAATTTAAAAAATCATTTTTGGAATTACATAAATTCCACAAGTGACCTGATTCTTTGCTAGGGCCTAGGTTGGTCACTGATATCCCAGCAACTACAGGGGGTAAGTTTTAGTAAGTTTCTAACGTCCTTCGTACTAATCACGACTTTTATTACATTTCATCTTGAAGAAGACTAGAATTAACAATGCACGTTCTAATTTTTGTATTTGAGAACCTTACATTTCATCTTGAAGATAGTAGACTTTAATCAATAATGCACGTTCCCATTTTTGTATTTGAGAACTTTCGTACCTGAACCTCGTCAATTAAATTAATACTAATTAGCAAGAATTTTTTGATCTATAAATTTCATAATTTATTATCATATATTCAAAAAAGAAAATAATTTTTAAAAAGATAGTTAAGCGGTGCGGGTTTGTGAGGGGCGGGACGGAGCAGATTGAAACAAAAAATTATATATTATGCGAGGCGGGGCGGGTTG